CCTCCGTGCTTCGGAAGGCACGTTAAGCCGTTGGTCCCGGCAGCATCTGCAGTCGTTAGCACTCACCAATCCACACTGGGCTCGCGTGGTCGGTCATGATCCAATCTCCCTATTCCATCCATATGGAAGGCCTGTGCCCCAGCAGTGGGGACATTAATAGGCTGGTGATGATGATAATGATATTTGTCGAAGGTTTTCCGTACCTGGATATTTAATGAATTTATTTTATTGAAAAAAGGCTTGCATTAAATGTTAGTTTTAGTATTGCAGGTTGACATTTCTGTGCTACAATATAAGTATAACAAGCACTGTATACGTACATCTGAAATACACTATTATATACTAATTTTATAAGTATGAAATCAATACCGGTCCTTGTTGACAACCCTGAGGGGCAAACATTTCTGCGAGAAATACCCACCGCGCAAATATCACGGGGCGGCGGCGAAAGTCGCTCCGGCTTACTAGCACGACCGATCAGGCAGTGCCGGAGCTAGGGCCACTAGGGGGGCTCGTAATCAATTATAAATTATGTTTAAGTATATTTTCTATGTTTAATTATATTTTCTGCAAATAAACTAAAGACCTGTGTGATGGCAATCGGCCATCATAATTTAATGTAACACTTGTACTTCGCGTGACTACTCGTATTTGGTTTTGGGGCCATTAATTTATTACATAAGACATTTTTTTGCTATTTTTTCACAAGGGAGATGAAGATGAGATGTGATGGTCCTATGTGAGAAACTCCCCTGTATAAAAAAAATATATTTTAACCCTATATTTAAACGATTTTTTTTATTTGACATTTCTATGCAAGTGGCCCGTGTCTATCCAAGAATGGGATAATTTGTTATGCCGTTCTCTTTTTAAGATTTAAATATCTCCAACAATTGCTGCGATTTCGTTAATACTTTGCTCTTCTTTTTCTGTATTTCTTTTACATATACAGACATTAATTAGACTATAATCCTTTAATGGATAGATGTATTAAATATTGAGATAGAAACATTCATAAACGTTAATATTTAAAGTAATACGGTGCCCCATGGGCCCAAGTTCGCCTGAATTCAAGTCTGTGTGATGCTCACGTCTGTTTGGCGCCCGTTCATCAAACACTCCGCTATGTGACATTTCAAGGCATCCTTATCTCTCTGGAGATAGATGTGAAAATCCTTTGTCACCCTAACTCTCTGTGCTTTACATTGATCTTGATCTAAACATTGAAGCCTGACAAGAAACAGTACCTTATCTTTAGCGATATTGAGTCTAGAATTCTTCGGATTTTTGCATAATATTTTTGTGCTGCGCTATTTCAGAGGGTAGTGGTATCTTGGTCTTTAAGGGTATAAGAATATGGTTGGTTTTTAGATGAGTATATGGTGGTCGGCATTACGTACGTGCTTCCACAACGGCCGTTTGGAGTGCCTTGTTGAATATTGACTTTGTCCTACTCGGGTAGCCTCTTGCAGTTTTTTACAGATATTTACATACACGCCATTTTTAGAGTTCCGTATCCAATGGGCGACAATGGAACCCCATTTATACCCTATAAGCCTCCATTGTCCACGTCTTAGAGTTACCATTACTAGGTACGGGAGGTACCATCATCATATCAAATATTGCGTTGTCATTCAGATAACATTATGCATGCGTTTTCAATTTCAGCTAAATCGAAAACCGGCAAGGTTGTCAAACTAGCAATCTTTGATTACTTACTTACTGATAATGCGCTTACAACGGCATAGTTGAAGCTAGATAAAACCTTTTAAAAAGCAGTCTAAATAATTAAGGTGTCGTTTTGAAAAAGGAGCATTTCCCCTTTTGAGCACTTAATCAACTAAAATTGTTACCTATATGAAAAATAACCAGAAGAGAACATAAAGGGGAAGATTGATGAAACCGATAAATCCAAGCACTTAGGTCTGATTAGTCAGACAGAGCATTATGGTGCGTAAGAAGTTCACCAATTCCAGCATAGTGCTATAGTGTTTGTTTTTGCTAAATTAATATCTATATCCAAGATATAGAGTGACGAAATAAATATTAACATTAACGGCGTAGTGTCCCTTGAATCTTGGTGATCTTGGCAGAGCATTTAATATTTCGTTAAATTAAACATGTGCGAATGCAGATTCACGCTTGGCCTCTAAGGCCCGTAATAATAGATCGTTCTCAACTCTGAGATCTCGGTTCGCCGGTTAACATGGGTGTTTTGCAGGGCTCAAACCTTGGTCATTTCTTATTTTTAATTTATATTAATGGCTTACCTTACTATGTAAAAGATAACCATGAGATGATATTGTTCGCGGAAGATACAGCACTTTTTTTAAAACTTAAACTCAAGGAAACAGTTATTGACGACGTGAATAATTAATTCTCTAAGGTAGTCCACTGGTTCAATGTTAATAATTTATTACTTAACGAAGGAAAAACGAAATGATAAAATTTGTATTACCTAATGTTAAACAGGTAAAAACTAGTGTTAATGTAAAAGATAGGAATATGGGCCTTGTAGACACAGTATTCTTAGGGTTTATTTTGGATTTTAAGCTTCAGTGGGGGCCCACATATTGATAAAGCGTCAAATAAACTTAGTTCTGCAGCAAATGCCATAATGAAGATACGGAGTTAACGGATGTAGATACGGCCAGAATTGTGCACTTTAGTTATTTCCATAGTGTAATGTCGTACGGAATTTTACTGTGGGGAAACGCCGCCGACATTCTAACTATTTATGTGGTGCAGAAGAGAGCTATTCGATCAATTTATTAATTTAAGTTTAAAGAAATTGGCACAATGACAGTCGCTTCATAATACATATACGAATATATACTTGTTTCTTAAAAACAGTGATGACAAAAAATATAAAATAAAACGAAATACTTAGTTCAAAAAAAATATATCGATAATCAGTCTGTCCTGTAAAAAATACAAAACAAAAAGTAAAAATCAAGTTTCACTTTTTACACATTTAATCTGATCCAAGGTACGATTGTACAACTGTTGCGATTTTAGATAAATTTTCTTTCGCATATCCGTATGTCAGTTACGGTTAAGTCTCAAGAATGGCTTCTAAACTTCATATAAATTAATATACTTAGTTATAGAATAGAATTTTCACAGAAGGCAAGTAGGAGGATAATGTTTTGGTGTCGTCGTGCGCAACAGGTTGTGTTTAAGAGCGGACGCGAGCTGAGAGACATTTGAGAAATAGGACTTGTAAAAGCTATTGCTGTCACGTATTGGCAAATACCATGCGATAGGGAGAGTAGTTAACGCTGAAAATTGCGTATAACAATTGCAAAATTCGAAGTTAAGCTCTCGACGATTTCCTCCTCGACAAACATTGATGGTAGCACCCGCCGTATACAGAGACAATTACAATACCATTCCATAGACAGAGCTCCAATTCCGTGTATGACCACGGTGCCTGAAATGCTAGATGCCACTGCAGTAATAATACCTAAAACGCTAATTGACTAAGAAGCAGATTGCCTTTTTTTTGACTCATGCAAAACCTCTATTTACATATGACGGCGCCTTTAAGAGACACACCGCCGAACAGACCTCACACCTGGCTCCCGTAAGCCTTACGGGCCCCCGCAGTGGCTGCCCACTGAGGACCCCGTAACTCTGACGGGCGCTTTACGGCATAATATCCGCTAAAAACCTTGCGAATACCCTTTAACCTGCTAAGTGCGAAATCGCGGACTCCCCGTTTAAGGGATTCTGCCGCGACCAGCACCCAGGAAGAAGCAGATTGCCTACAATTTGAGCGAAAATTCCGTTATCACATAACTCTCTTCTATATATTACACTATGACACCGTCAATTAAGTAAATCTTTGTAATTTTAAAGAAGTTGTTTTGCATGTTACTGCTTAATTTTAGCTGTAACGTCCAGTCACACCACATGACTATGAACCAGATACAATAAAATAAACAAGCAAAACAACATGAAACTTCATTTGCGGGTAATGCAGAGTAGAGTAGGCCTTTGGTAATTAGGGAATTACCTTATCAAAGCTTGATTGCCACAGTCGGCTGTTCGCGCTACCGCCCGCGCCCGCCTACGTTCTTCATAAAATTGTGCCGCTGAGTTTCATGGTGTTTTCATAGATGTTTTAAGCATTAAAAATATTCTAGGATTTTCAGTTTGATAATACAGCTTTAATGAAAAAATTTTAATTCCGTAGGCTTATTTATTCGATTGTGGTTTTATACTATCATATCAAGACAAATTTAAAATAACTAGAGGCCGCCCGCGATTGCGTCCGCGTCAACTTTAGTTTTTCGAGAAACCTGACATTTTTTCAGTGTAAAAAGTATCCTATGTCTCAATCTAGTTCATAAAACTGTATGTGTACCAAATTTCATTCAAATCGTTCAGTAGGTGTTTGATTGAGTAAGAAACATACAAACATATACAAACTTTTAAATTTATAATATTAGTAGGACTATTATAGAGAAGAAATAAAGTATTATACCTATAATTCTAAGTAATTATTTTATTATTGGCGAATTAAGTAGGTATTCTACAGATTTTTGTTTTAATTTACAGTATTAGCTATCATAACAATATGCCGATTTAGTTGCACATTCATTTTCTTTCTTTTTTTTCATATTTATATTTCATATTATATCAGGCGAATTGTAAACGAAACAAAGGTTAATTTTGGGTTTTCCAGTAATATTTTTATTTTTTAGGCATTTAACTGCTAGAAACGTTTTGGTTGGTTGTTGATTCGATTTGGTCATTCCAATAAAAAATACATTGTAGCGCCATCTATAATGAATTTTACCTCAGTGCTTTTCCTAATATTTGATGCTTTTTGTGTTACGCCGTCTATCGGCGAGTAGCAGAAGTAACGTATTCAAGGGGGTTGCATTTTAGTTCAGATAAAGCTAAAAGGTGGCGCTCTGCTCTTGCGAGAGAGTTACTTCAAGATATTTAATAAATGTATAATAATACTCATTTCGATTTCAATATTGTTACAGAATGCACCTAATCAAGAACCTGTGTACAGAAAAGTGGCGATTGTTGAAAATTTCTTCGACATCATCTACACTGTTCACGTTGAACTCGAAGGGCGGCCAGGAAAACATGCAGGACAAAAACGAACTTATAGAACTGTAAGTTGTTCGAAATAATATTAATCTCATTAAAAATTACAGATTTTTTTAAATTAAATATGCTAGATTAAGCAATATTTAATTTCCGTTTAATTTAAAATGATATAATTTTTGCTTGTTACGCCATCTATCCATTCTATTACAAAACATTTAAGTTCAGGATAGCACTGGTATTTCTTAAAAGCACGTGATAAAGTAACAATACTATTCTAGATGGCAGTCTCTCACATATTTTAAAAGTACAACTGAAATCCAAAACACATCCAATTAATCGCTTCGTAATTAAATACATTAAAACTAATTGGAAACAGGGAAGGTTTATATTAAATTTACATAGGTATTATATTATTTACATCTTAAGCGATGTCTAACAATAAATGACTTCAGGTTTAAGAGATGGCACCACTTTCGATGAATTTAGTTTTCATGCAGTTAGTTGTAGGTATTTCCTTTTGCGTGTTTCTCTTATGTTATATTAGCTTATTTTTTATTTTGTGTATTATTTTCAGAATTTATTTGAATACGCCAATATTATTATTAAAATGAGTCTGTGTGAATTTGAATTAATTTCTAAAATATCTGAATACGTAATTGAGAGAAATCGTTTTTGATATAACATGATTGTTTTCAATATTAATATATTATTGAAAATCTGTGAGAAATATTTACCCTTGCTATAATGGGAGCGAAAACATAACAGGGAACTTTCGGAAACTGCAGCAGACTATAAGCTTACTACTACGGGTAGATCAAAACTAGATACATAGTCACTTTTATTTCCGGAAGACTGCGTCGTTGTGCCCTAAGTTTGTGAATCCACAACTTCAGAAATATTGTTTAATGCTTTCAAACATTAATGGGTTAAGCCATGATTAAGCTAAGTGATAAAACTGTTCGGAAAAAAAATTATATGTTGCAAAGTTGCCGAGCTACATGACTACTATCATTCCGAAGTTATCTTGTCGATCGATATTGCTCGGTTTATAATATCTGCTAAGAAAAGTTAGAAGCTGTCTCATTTTATGTTTTTTGGCCCAGTCCAGTATGATAAACTGTACCCCTAGCACGTACCATTATCGAATTCAAAAGTTTGCGAGTGCGAAATGTCAATGGCAAATTTTGTATGGAAACTTGAACAGCAGCGCCCAACGGACGTAACGAGAACTAAAAATCAGTACACATTTGACAATGACATTTCGCACTCGCAAACTATTCGAATTCGATATTGGTTCGTGCTAAGGGTACTGGTTGATATAAAATGACGTTACCCCAGCCATGGACCAATTGGTCCATTCTCCAGCATGGAATGGAATTATTATAGGTAAACGTATTAAAGCTTTCTTTAATAAAAAATAAATAGAGTGCCAGCTCCGACACCCAATTTCAACTGATAAATATATCTATTATATAGCATACTAATCGTAACAAACAAAGCAGCGCACAGCCGTACGTAACTCACTTTCCGCCTTCTTATCTAATCACGGATGTTTTCGCCAACAGATCACGGAGACTTACGCGTTTCTGCCGCGGGAGGCCGTCACGCGCTTCCTGACCGGATGCGCGGAGTGCGCGCGGCGCCCGCGCAGTGCCTCCCCTCCACCTCTCCCCACCCCTTCCCCTTCCCCCACCAGACACCCCACCTACCTCCCGTTCCTACCCCACTGCGCGCCAGACTACACCCGCAACTGGGAATCGGAAATAGACGCGCAGAACTTTTACGAGCCGAAATTCGACTACAACGATCTCCAACCGCTGAAGAAGATAGAAAGTCCCAAGCCCGCGGAAGAGGACGAACCGACCTATATAGAATTGACATCGAAAAAGGGCAACGGTTTTGATTCCGCTTCGGTGTTCAGTAGAAGTTCACCCGTTGAGCCCGCTTACAGAGAAGAAGAGCCCGTCCGAACCGATCCGGAAATAGACAAGGATGACAACAGTCTCATAGACGTAGAAGATGTCAAAACCGACAGTCCTGCTCCACCTGAGAAGTCAAAGAAAGAAGAAGAAGATAGAAAGCATAAAGACGAATACGTGCCTGAATGTACTAAGGCGGCAGAAAACGAAGGAGTTAAACATAAGACTGAAAGCAAAAAGGAGAAAAAGTATAACCCCTTGGATGTCGCCAATTTGACATCGAAAGACCCGCCTAAGTCTAGATCGCCGCCTAGAAAGAAGTTACTGCCTACTAGTATAGAATATCCGAATACTTTTGGAAGGGTCCCGAAACCATGGAGGCCTGACGGAGGGATGTTCTACGAAGGGGAGGAAATCGACTACAGTGTGCCTATAACGACGGCGTATCTCAAACATATGAGAAGCATGGCGTTTCAAGAGAGGATGGAGCTTGAGAATAAGGTAAGTCAAAATATTTTTTATTTTGTATCTTCGTCGTGTAATTCGAAATGGATCTCTGCTATGCAGAAACATCGCATAAATATTACGTATTTTAAACACAAGTTGAAACTAATAAGAGCAAAACTGATTTGCATCCAAAATGTTGATTATTGCAAGTGGGTGCTTACCCGTTGTTTTCACATGAAGTGAGTACACTAGTTCACAGAATACTGCAAAATTCAATATTCTGAATCATAACCCGTCAACGGTCAAAGCATTCCAAAACAACTTCGGATAGAATAATTCTGAACAAATTCAAAACTGAACAAACACATGATTTTGCGGGTTGTGCCTTTAACCCTGGCTTAAACTTGTTCAGAACTGGCAAAGCTGGCGGTCGGTGAGCCCTTCAAGCTTGCCTTTGTGAGCGGTCCACACGACCCACGTTAATAACTACTACTCGCTATTAGATCTAAAATTATTATTTTGGGTCGCTTGTTTTGGCATTTTTGTATAAAGAGAATTAGTTTAAATCATGTTAAGTTGTGCGGCATATTAGGGTTCTTTTCTTTGTTGAGATTTCAGGACGCCCTTTCAAGTTAAGTATAAGATTATAATTAATTTCTCTTAATTTAAGCCGACTTACAGCAATTTTGATAAGTCTCAATTTAACAAAAACCAGATTTAGTCGATACAAAAATGTCAAATTAACATAAACGTTTTGACATTTCTCTATGAGATGAAGCGATTTTAGTTGAATCCAGATTTAACAAATTTACTGCAAATGGGCCCGAGTAGGAAGTTAAATCTATATATTCATCGGATTAATAATCTTGAAGTTTGTAGTCAAAATATCCGACATGTAAAAAAAGATTAGCCTTTTTCCACAAATTCTGAGTGAGAATACAAAATACATATAATTGATATTAACAAGAATCAAATTCAGTAAAAATAAAAATGCGACAAAGGAAGCATTGACGCTTACATATATAAAATTTTCAATTTAACATTGAAATTTTTCGTAGAAACCTACCTACGCAAAGGAAATAAATCTCAAAGTACCAGGGCGACAGAATTTATAGGCATTACAGTACCTGGCGTAACCCTGCATTTTGTCCCTTCGGCCGGATCGACCGATTGATTGGCACAAAGAGAACGGTCACGCCATAATCGGGTCGGCGCATCTTTTCTAACTCATTTTTCTTAGTTGAGGGAGGGCAAAGCAAGGCACAAAAAGTTACCCGAGATGCTCGAATAGTGAGCAAGTAGATTTTCTTATGACGGCTTTTTGCGATAGCACTAAGAGCAATTTTTGTACGAAAATAAATCTCAGGAATTTATCGTCGGTATTAAGAAGCATCGTTTCTTGATAAAGCTGAAGAGAAAGTAAGTAAGGAAGCGAGGTAAATGGAATTTTTTCGTGAAAAGCTGGAAATGATACAAATATTCATTGAAAATAAGATTTTATACCAAGAATATAATAACCGAACAAGTACGTGTCGGACTACCCATCGAGGGTTCCATACAAATTGTGTACGCAACATACACGATCTTATCTTTTTTCCCGTAAACTTTGTCAAGTTTGATTTTTCGCAGCTTCAAGGGACCTAAGTATGTGGTTTTAATTTCAAACGGACGGACATACGGACAACAAGGAGACGGTATAAGGGTTCCGTTATTCCTAAAAAGAGAAATTTATGTCCTGATTCCATCAAAGTAGTATCTAATCGTCATTTAGGAATAAAAAGTATTTGATAATCGGTGCTTTTCAAATGCTAAACCTTGAAAGATGGTACGGAACCTGACATTGAAATGGTACTACACATTAAACCAATTTGGCTTTTAGAATCTCAATTCAACTTAAGGAAAATATATAAACCTATCTCATTATAATATGTAATAAAACCAAAACCTAACAGTCCCGAATTTCCATCTAGGTTAATTTAGCCAAAAACATAATCATAAAATTCCTTATAGTAAGTAGGTACAGATATATATGTTTTTACATAAACAAATGCTACGCAACTCCCACTAGATTTCAGCTGGCTACACAACATCGCGTCCCAATCTTAATTGACACTGCAAACAAGCCCAAACTAAACGCTATGTACCCAACTAACAAAAAGTTTACGTCTGACCTTTTTCGTGCGGTGGCTGCTGGAGGGTCAGCGAGCGAGGGTAGCGTCCCTCCGACCCCTAGGCCCCGCGCTGCGACTTGTAAGATTGATTGGGGCTCCTTCAGTCCATTGCCGACCCCCTGTGGGATATTCGACCCTACCCCCCTTTTTTCTCTGTTGAGAGTCGCGGAGATAGAGTGACTAGATGTGGCTTTGATTTTGGTATTTACCTATATTATATATTTGATTGGATTAAAATTTGATACACTTTCAAATTTTTGCATTGCATTATATGCATAACATTTCACAGGTTAAAACGTGTATTATAGTAAAGGATTTCGTACCTTCTTTATCCTTACGGTTTGGCCAGGTTACACTGGACGTGTTCACGGGGCAACTGGTCACCCGTTATAAATTTAATAATTATTGTATTTGATGTTGGGCATATTATTTATAACACGTATTTTTAAAATGTGTTATTTTTATTATATCGCTACAATTTTTTGATGGAGGCATGTCGCATTATCTTTGAATTGTTCAGTGGTAGAAAGCTCGCCTGTTACGTGGGCGGCTTGGATTCGATTCCCAGTCGAGAAAGAACTTTTTTATTGATGATTTAAAAAGTTTCATAAAACTATACCATTTTTTTGCTGTTTGTTTCTCTAAATAAATACGCACTTAAAATATTAAGTAGAGCATGAGTATTTTCATTGTATTGGAACAAAATGATTGTTCCCTTTTGCTATTTTTAATAAAAGATTCTACTATTTTGGCAGCTTCTTTAATGGAAACGAATGTTGACTATATAATTTAGAATAGTTTTCTTTGTGTTACATAATTATCACTATTTAAGGCATCTCAAATTTTTTTAATGGTTTTATCGAAATGCATGGCATTCGAAATGATGGAGAAAATTATTTAATTTATCAAATAATGAAAACCGATAGACTGTTTATAAGTCCCGAGATATAGCACTTAATAGTTAATTAAAATACTGTGTAATAATGTTCAGTTTCTTTTACTCAAAGAAAAGGTTTCCTGATTATTTTAAATATCGTATGGGTTAGCAATAGTTATTATACCCCAAAACTTATATTCTCTGATGTAATCAATTAAACAGTCTCATTCATATAACGACTTTAGTATACAAAATTATGAATTATTGAGTTCATTAACATTATATAATTAATAATGTTTTAAGATCTGCCGTTTATAATGTGGAGTGCAGTTTTAATAAATGTTTATATATATACATTAACATCTGCTATCACCTGAATCCGAGTCACTTCCAGCGGTTCATAAACACCCACCCCCTTTTTTGTAGCAGGGGCTGTTAATAACACAACAGGCTATTTTATTCGCCGACCGCCACTTGCGGCGTGCGGCGCCTTTGATGTCCGAGATTAGAAGTTTGCTTAGTTCTGGACCAGCACGTTATGTGGACAATGCCGAATATCTGATGTACCGCCGCCATTTTGTTTGGCTCTTCACATTTCACGCAGTTGTAGTAATGAACTTATTGTCTATGTTTAATAAAGGTCGGCTCTCTCTCTTTATCGCTTTTGATGGTGAAATCTTGTAAGTTAATGCAGAATTACCTCCTCAAGTACCATACATTCCCATTTATTCAGTTAAGCCTTTCAGTACTTCAGTTACTCCGTGATCATGGCACTCGCAACAGTGCCGAAATATCAGAGACTCATAAAAAACAAGGTACATGGTAACAATCCCGTTAAAAGCTATAATGTTAGTGACCATGAAAGTTTAAAACCATATACAGTTAGGCAAAGTTCTTTTGTACAGCCCAAAAACAAGTCTAAGTTACACCATAAGTGTCAAATCGTCTTGAATGATTTTGCATTTTATACTTAGTAAGATAAATGGCAAACTCATTTCGAGATATTTTTAATTACTTGGGGCTTTTTGCTTTGAAGGAAAGCTAAAGAGAAGTGTCAATGTGACATAACATAATATTATCTCTGTTTCAATTTATGAAATTAAAGGGATGTCGGAAGAAAAAGAAAAGAAAGATTTACATTAGTAGGATTCTATTTTCGACTGTTCCATTGTTTATGTAGTTACATTACATCATCAAGTATCATCATATCTATCTATTAAGAGTTAACGGATGGTAGAAATCTAATTAGTTTCTTATAAGAAGAAACCGTAATGGCAATTAAGAACCACCCAAAGCCGAGAAACCTGACATAGGTTCGTATTCTACATTGATTCGATAGGAAATGAACGACGAAAAAAGTCAATGAAGCTGATATAAAAAATTATCAATATACGTGCAGGTGCTATAAAGGAGCTAAGTTTATCAGAAATCTTACTGTGACATTTTAGAGATCACCCGTCCACTCTGAGACTAAGCCCTACTGTCTACGTAAATTGGATGTTATGACTACGCGATTAGAATTTGACTGCCCTACTTTCATCGTTTTTTTTTTGGTTTCTGTGGCTTTCTCCGTTTTACACAGAAATTTCGCCAATGTCCAGTAGTGAGAGAGACACGAGAAAGACTGCTCGGTAGAAACAGATTAAGGTGGTATAGAGTAAATAACCGAATATACGTTCTTCCTTGAGTATACTTTCATCATTTCTGCCTATCCTTATACTTTTGCTGTCGCTGCGTGGATATAGTTTCACTGTTGCTCTTTCGCGAAAATTTCCCGTTTTTACGACAAGCGGGGCCAAGCAACAGTCATATTTCAGAATACAGTCAGATATGTGACTATTGCTTGGTTAGATGTGTCGAGAAAACTGCAAATCATCGCGTTATCGCGATAGTGTGACCACAGCAGAAGAAAGAACGCAAGCTTTTCAAAATGAGGAAAGCGTGCATATGATTTGGTTCATGCGGACAGTAGGCCTCAAGTGTCTGCGTTGATTTTACGTTGTCCG